ATTGCAGCCTAAACTTTCAAATACCTTGAGTAATGATTTCTTTGTTGCATCCCAGGAAGGACAGACTCTACAAGCAGGAGGATTCCAGGTCTGAGCCCCCAGGCTGACATCTCCCTCCCTCCAGACCTCCGTTCCAGCGTCCTACCTGGAGTTCCTCTGCATGTCCAGTAGAGCGTGCAAAACGTCCTCACCCAGAGCTCTTCCTTAGTCTGTTTCCCATCTCCCACAATGACACAACTTCCTCCCATCTGCTCGAGCCAGGAGTCTGTCAGCTTCACCGCCTTCCTCGCTGGTCTTCCCCATATGTAGTCTTGTATGGAGACCTGTTATCCCCTCTTATTGGTGTGTCTTGGCATGAGTGAATTTGGCTATATAACATTCTCTTCAGCCCTGCACTTTCTTCTAGGCCCATCTGTCTCTGCCAGAATTCCTGTGAGTCTTAACTGCCTTCCTACTGTCTAATCTTTTTGTCCTTCAGACCAATGTTATTTTTCAACATCAGATTCAGTCATATCTCTCTGTATTTAAAAGCCTGAATGGCTTCCTGGCGATTACAGGCTGAAGTTCAAAATCCTCAGCAGGACTCAGAAACCTTCACAGTCAGACCCAAACCCCTCTCCTGACACAGTGTGACACTCCTTCACTGTGCCTTCTGCCGTGTGGACAACTATACCGTGTCCCCAGCTGGTTCTCAGTCCCGTGCGAGCTGCCGCACCTTCTCTTCTACCTGGTAACGGTCCATTGTCCCATTTTGCCTTTGAATTCTCAGCAGTCAAGAAATGACTGTTTGAACGTTTCAAGACTCACAAACTCATAAAAACGAAAAACCAAAACCAAACCAGTTGGCTTCAAGTTGATTCCAACTCATGGTTACCCCATGTGTTACAGAGTAGAACTGCTCCATAGGGTTTTTTTGCTATAATCTTTATGGAAGCAGATCACCAGGCCTCTCTTCCGCAGTTCTGTTGGGTATTTATGAACTGCCAGCCTTTAGGTTAGTGTAGTGCAAGCTGCTTGCACCACCCAGGGACCTCACTAACTCATAGGGGTAGCCCAGTTCTTATAGTAACAGCTTTTAATAAAAAAACTTTTCTAATACCTCCTCATAACTTTTCTTTGTCTTTGAGGAACCTCCCAGAATAAGTCTCCGTCTTTCCTCTGATGTCCCTTCAAATATGTGAAGACATCTCTCATTTCTTCCCAAATCTCCTTCTTCTCCAAACATTGTCAGTTGTTTCAAAGGTTCCGCATTCATTCTGACATCATTTCCTGACACCTCACCTTTGTGCATCTTCTTTTTGAGGAATTTTGCATTACCAATTTTTATTTGTCAAAACCCAAGACCCAAGTGATTTTTCTGGTATAATACCACAACTTTTAACTACTTGTGTGGTTTCAGGGCTTCAGGTCTTGGCCAAAGTCTTGTGTAAACTCCTTTGTGAAACTATTCCCAGCCCTTTTAACTATAATCAGTTGCTCTTCCCTTCTTGTTTCCTTGTGATCTCTAGTATCTTGGCCAATATTTACCTGTGAGTTTTTCATCACATCATATTCATCATTCATTCAGCAGGTCTTTGTTGAATATTTGCCCTTTATTGGGCATTGTGTCAGGAGCCCCAGTGGCACAGTGGTTAAGCTCTTGGCTGCTAACTGAAAGCTAGACGATTCGAACCCAACACCAGCTTCTCAGGAGAAAGATGTGGCAGTCTGCTTCCGTAAAGATTGACAACCTTGGAAACCCTGTGTGATGGTTCTGTTCTGTCCTATAGGGTTGCTGTGATTAGGAGTCAACTCGACGGCAGTGGGTTTTTTGGGCTTTTTTGGGGAAGCGTGTCAGGTATAGGTAATGCGGAAACAAATGAGACAGACCCTGCCCTAGAGAATCCAGCAGTCTCCTTGGGGAGAAGGGGAATCAAAGAAATAACTGGACAGACTTGTATCTAATTGCGATTAAAATATGGTACCTGCCACGATAATTGTATGAACAGAGTTCTGTGGGCAGAGAGAAGACAGAATTCTGCCAGGAAGAATCTGGAGACGCTCCACGAAGTAGCATTTGAAGTGGATCTTGAAGGATGAGGAGGAGTTTAGTGAGATGGACAAGCAGGGAGAGGGGGGACAGTTTGGAGATTTGATGGCTATTTTCTTTCTGTAAGAGACCAAATATGAGAAGTACTATCTACGTGGGAAAATGTACCAACTAGTTTTCCTTTTTCTCCCTTGAACAGTAGGGTATCCCCTCTAGGGGCCCTCGATGAGGTATTCCTGTGTTTCTGGTGCTGGTCGGGCCTATGCTCAGTCTACCTGTGTCTCAGGGAAACAGACAGCCAGACGTTCCCGTTTCGGGAAGGTTCATTAGATTCAGTGAGAAAAACATTTACATAGCACATCTCCCACACTGATCGGAAACTCGCACACCAGAATTAACTGCTTGGTTGAGATGTGAAATTTTACACTGCCATCCTCTTTACAGTTAGATTTATTATTATTATAACTCGAATTTGAGGCCATTTTCAAAACTTTCTGTCCCCTGTATTAATAGGTCTTCAAAAAGTCCTCATGGCTGAGTGCCATAGAAATGTGAAACTATCCCTAGAACCCAAGATAGTCCAAGTCTGTGATAGCCATCAGGCCCGCTTGGGAGTTAGATAACCTCTGTTAAAGCCCTGGTTCTGGCACTCATTGGTACATGCTATTTCAGAAGTTATTAACCTCTTGGGACCTTCACTTCCTTCTTTGTAAAATGCACAGTCAGAGGGGGCTTAGCTGCTGGGATTGGTTTAAGTTGAGGATTAATCAAGTAAGGCACTACAATGAATGGCACAGCTCCTGGCATGCAGTACGGACTTAGTAAACAGAAGGTGCTTCATTTTGGTGAGGTGGTTATTACTATTATGTGCGAACGAACCCAAGGCTAATTCTTGCTGAGTTATCAGTTACCATGAAATCAAGCCACCTTAAGAGAGATGGGGTGGGGAAGGCCGCTCATAATCCCTTTTTCCTTTCCTTTCATTGTCTTTGTATGCTTTATTAAATGTTGTTGAAAGCACTTTTAAAACATCATGTCGCATGTTATTGTAGGAAAGCTGAAATAAGGGATGGGGACCTTTCACACTTTGTCCTCTAACCATTTTGTCTGCCATGGAATGTTGAATGCACTTGATTTAAGTAGCTAAGGATGCAGCTCTTTCTTTATTTTATATTCCCCCACCTCTAGATTTTAGTTTGACGACCCTGTTTATAAAACGTTAAGTGAAATCATTGCCTTTATTTTAGTCCAGATAAAACTCATTGCCGTCGAGTAGATTCCAACTTATAGCAACCCTATAAGACAGAGTAGAACTGCTCCATAGGGTTTCCAAGGCTGTAACCTTTATGGAAGCCAACTGTCATATCTTTCTCCTGCAGAGTGGCTGGTAGGTTCAAACCACTGACCTTCCAGTTAGCAGCTGAACACTTAACCATTGTGCCACCAGGGCTCCTTTGACTACACAAAGGCATTTGACTTTGTGAATCATAGCAGATCGTGGATAACATTGCGAAGAATGGGAATTCCAGAACACTTAATTGTGCTCATGAGGATCTTGTGTATAGACAAAGAGGCAGTTGTTCAAACGAACAAGGGATGCTGCGTGGTTTAAAATCAGGAAGGGTGTGCATCAGGGTTGTATCTTTTCACCATACTTATTCAAACTGTATACTGAGGAAGTAATCTGAGATGCTGGACTGTATGAAGAAGAACATGGCATCAGGATTGGAAGAAGACTCATTAACAACCTGTGATATGCAGATGACACAATCTTGCTTGCTAAAAGTGAAGAGGACTTGAAGCACTTACTAATGAAGATCAAAGACTACAGCCTCCACTATGGATTACACCTCAACATAAAACAAAAATCCTCACAACTGGACCAATAAGTAACATTGTGATAAATGGAGAAAACACAGAAGTTGTCAAGGATTTCATTTTACTTGGATCCATAGTCAACATCCATAGAAGTAGCAGTCAGGAAGTCAAACGACACATTGCATTGGGCAAATTTGCAAAAGATCTCTTTAAAGTGTTCAAATGCAAAGATGTCACTTTGAGGATTAAAGTGCTCCAGACCCAAGCCATGGTATTTTCAATCTCCTCTTACGCATGTGAAAGCTGGACAGTAATTAAGGAAGACCAAAGAAGAATTGATGCCTTTGAATTATGGTGTTGGAAAAGAATATTGAATGTACCATGGGCTACCAAAAGAACAAACAAATCTGTCCTGGAAGAAATACAGCCAGAAGGCTCCTTAGAAGGGAGGATGGCGAGACTTTGTTTCACATACTTTGAACATGTTATCAGGAGGGACCAGTCCCTGGAGAAGGAAGTCATGCTTGGTAAAATAGAAGGTCAGCAAAAAAGAGGAAGACCCTCAATGAGATGGATTGACACAGTGAATATAACAGTAGGCTCAAACATAGCAACGATTGTGAAGATGGCGCCAAATCAGGCAGCATTTCATTTGTTGTACATAGATAGCGTCACTATGAGTCGGAATTGACTTGACTGCACCTAACAGCAACAACATTTTAGTCCAGATAAACATCCATTCTCCCTTTTTAGTATATATTCCTACTCTGAGAGGGTTATTTGGTATGTGTCTACGTGGGATTATTGAAAGGAGTAGTTCTGTGTTTAGAGTTTTGGGTTCTTAATTAGAAATCTAGTTAAACTGTGAAATACGGTGGACTAAGTGGCATAGCCAATTAGTGTAATTCCCTCTACGTCTGAACTGAGTTCAACATCACAAACAGAAATGTTTGCTCAGTTTTCTACTGAGTAGACTCTTTTGGGGGGACATCAGAAGCCTGACATCTGCCTTTTCACGAGGAATTCTAGAGAAGAAATGAAAATCTGTGCAAAAATAAATAGATTTGTATTATTGCTTCCTTTTTTTGTAATTGAGAATATCTTCCTCTGTTACTTTTGTCATTTCTTTCCTTTCTTCTCATCTACCATATAGGAAGAACGTTGGTGAAAAGCACAGAAACCAGTGACTCTTGTGGCTGTGGAATTTCCGTGGAGAGAAGAGAATACCAGAACTCACCTGGACCATCTTGTGTGCCTGGCCAGCCCTCCACGTCCCCAGGCGTGTCTGTGACCTTGAGCAAATAAGTGTTCAGGGTGCTTTCAGAGGAGAGAGCAAAGCCCTGGCTTGTTGAAGAAGTGGGGAGGGGGCGGGGAAGGGTGAGGATGGGAGAGAAAATGGAGCAAATGTTTTACAACCCGAACCTCAGAACTGTGATCCTCCAAGGAGAGCGTTACTTGAAGAAAAGAAAAAAAAAAAAAAAAAGTCGAATGGCTTCTCAGGGATTTTGTTTTCCACGCACATATAAGCCATGGTTGTAGTACAGGCAGCAGCATTTCGAGCATTCAGATTTCAGTTCTGTTAAATGTGAAAGAAGGATCGACCGACGTTCATTGCTGTTTCGTAGCTAGTGTAAAATATGTATATGTTTATCTTTATTTTTATAATATGCAAATACATTTAAATTTATACAGTTTGAAGCTTCTAGCATTAGTTAACACTGGGTGCAATATTCCGCATGAGAACTGTGCCAAGATGGGGCTGATTTCTTATTTTAGCATAAGTTTTTTGTTTTTATTTCTTTATGCCTTTTTCTCAAAAAAAAAAAAAAAAAAGTACAGCCCATGAATCCATGGCTAAGTGTTGGTTCATAGAGATTGCCAAAAATCTGTCAGCAAGAACCTTCAGTGAGCATTTTAGGTGATATCCCCTCTGCTTCTTTGAATTACAGGTCCCTGCCTCTAAATCCCTGGGCAGGGTGGTCGGATTTTTCCTCTCCTTTCCCCACGTATCACTTAGGCCTGGCAGAGCTGTTCCTTGCTCAGGTTTTGTGTACAGCTGTGGGTTGTCACCGAGTGGTACGTGATGGTCTGGAGCCTCCATTCAGTAGCAGAGGCCTGTTGTTAGAATTCTCCGGAGAAGGGTGCAGAGGGGACAGAGATCCCATGGAAAACCTGTTGTTCCAGAGCTTAAAATAATCAGGAGTTAGTTGTTCTGAGTAATGAGTGCAAAGAGCTCTGCTAATAAGTACCTTTTCTTCCTTAGAACAGAGCCTGTGAAATTTAGCAGAACACTTTTAAAGTCTTCCACATCTGGGGATCAGACATTAAGATCGGGAGTTTTCTAATTGGAGAGCAGAATCCTACATTGGTTATTTATAAACACAGAGCCTCTGATTGGATGGTCTGTTGCCAGGATCTAGCAAAACCCTTGTTTTAAGGTGTTCATGCAGTAAAACTTTAAAAGCAAACCAAATAAATTGCTCTCTATCCTACTGCTAATTGGGGCCAAACAGCATATGCTGCGATAGTAACACAGTCTTTTTAAGAGTGTAAAGGACTGTTTATATCTGCCTCCTCTGTGTGTTGATTGGAAAATGTGTAAAACTGTTTCTCAGTAATGTAAAACCAGAAAAGTGAGTCAGCTGGTGTTAATCTCTTACTTCCTTTATAAAGTATTGACTCTTTGAATGCCACAGTATACAAAGTCTCAACACATTTTTAAAAGAAATAACACACACGTGGCCGTGCTGCAAAATATCACAAATCGTTTTTTGTAGGCTATTTTGTGCCCCAGGAGTGAACTTACTGACTCCATAGCCTCCAAGTAAACTGAGAATATGATTTCTTATGATCATAGAATCACGTGGAATCAGACAATTTTTGCATTTTTTAATACTTGAACGTGGTGCCTCAAGTTTGAGATTTCATTTTCTTTTAGAATGCAGTCAAGAGATGAATCTGGTTCTTTCTTTCTTTTTTTTTTTTTTGTCACAGTTCTCTTTGTATGTGTGTGTGGAAGTGTAAACTGAATGGTAACATTTAATTGCTTTATGAACCATTGAATTGTTGGGCATAAAAAGTTTTTTTTTAATTGACATGAGCCAGTTCCTAAACTGTCACATTAACCAACTTTGACAAGTCTTTTGAAAAGGCTGTTACATGTGTGACTTAGGGCTAGCTCCCCAGGGGACCACAGTGAATGAAAAAAATAAATACTCCCTTGGGTGACATACCCTGTAAAGTGTTGGATATTGGCGTGAAGAGAAATGCCCACATTCTCAATATTTTCTGTTTGTTGACAAGTGATGTCTTATGCCATCATCTGAGCCCTGGAGAAGCAATGTAAGAAACCTTGGTGTCACATGTGCTTTGGCGAAAGGTCAGCATGATAGAGGGTCATGTGGCCAAAAGATGCTCCAGAAAAAGTTTGAGAACTTTGCTTCTGGGTGGGGGAGGGTTGGATATACCGAAAGCACTCCGCTCTGCAGGAATGTTCACTGTCTATGCAGGAAATTCAGTTGTGTCTTTCAACACCCGGAAGACTCAGCAGCCAGCCAAGGCTGCCAGGCAATTCACTAAGCACAAGAGGAATTTTTTCCAACCCGGTTGTCCCTTGCCTTTCCAACAAATGCCCTCCAAGTTTGTTATGGTTTCTGTTCATGCAACTTGTGGTATCAGACCACTTCCTGGAATTGTAAAAGCGCTGCCAGAATAAATGTTTCTCCCCCTTCTAAGAAAAAAAAAAAAAAGACAGTGCTCATATTTGACACTTGTGCATTGGACTCTCTTTTGAATGAATAAAAAGGAAAGGGTTTGTGTAATTCCTGAGGAGGTGTGTGTGATTCTTTGTGCCACAGTTTGTGAATTGTAATTGTGGTTTCCCATTTAAGTGTTGTTGACTGGGCAGAAATTTTTAAAAATTCAATAAAAATATAAAGAAATGCTTAAGCAATTATATTTAGTTATTTCTCGCCTTTTTTTTTAAGGAATAACTTTGTATTTTTAGTTCTTAAGTCACTTTTGAGAATAGCTCTGAGAGGTACATGGTGGTGGCTTACTTTGCTTCAGGATTAAGTCCAAGTGAGGAAGATTGAAGAGTCCTTGAAATGCCTGTTTCAGCCTGGGGATTCAACTCTTGAGTATCTGTTCTGTCACTTAAATCATATCCTTTTCTCATTGATCTACTGTATTCCTAAGTCAAAGCTTATAAATTGATGATGGGTTTCCAAGTTCCCTTCTTTCAAAGGCTCTTGGCAGAAGTCATCGTTACCACCATGTAAATATTTCCTGGCATGTTCCCTTGTTGTTGTTGTTGGATGCCTTGGAATCATTCCAACTCATAGCAACCCAGTGTGACAGAGTTGAACTGCCCCGTTGGGTTTTCTAGGCTATGATTAGCAGCAGATCACCAGGTCTTTCTCCCGTGGAGCAGCTGGGTGAGTTCGAAGTGCCAACCTTTGGGTTAACAGCCAAATGCTTGGATCATTGCAGCACCTGTGCCCTGTTATTGTTCGATGCTGTGAAGTTGATTTCAACTCATATTGACCCCATGTGACGAAACTCTGCTCTATAAGGTTTTTCAGTGGCTGATTTTTTGGAAGCAGATTGCCAAACCTTTCTTTCGAGGCTCTTCTGGGTGGGCTCTAACCTCCAGCCTTTCAGTTAGCAGCCAGTTGAGTTAACCTTTTGCACACCCAGGGTTTCCAGATGAGAAGATAAGGAAAGGCAGAGAAGATGGCTGCTTCATACAGAGGCAGGACCAGCTAAGCCCGGCCCGGCAGCACCTCAGACCAAGAGGGACTTGTTATCAGATTCCTGAGAAGGTAGGTGGAGCCGTTCCGAGGTGTTTGCTTGGGTGCTCAGAATTTAAACATGCCTTTGACAATGGAGGAGCCTTGGTGGTACAGTGGTTAATACCTCAGCTGCTAACGAACAGGTGGGCAGTTCGAATCCACCAGCTGCTCCTTGGAAGCCCTATGGGGCAGTTCTACTCTGTCCTGCAGGGTCGCTATGAGTTGGGATCAACTCAATGACAATGATTTTGGTTTTGACAATGGAAAGTCTGGAACCATGTGGTGTTCAGAGCTTCCAAAGGAGCTGGGAAGCAATAGGCGTGTTCCACATGCCTTAAAGCTGTGTCCACACAAAGCAAGGTGCTTGCATCAGTGAGTGCCATTGCCCTGCCCTCCTTTAGAAAGGAGCACAATAAGCCTAAATCATACATTTGGGCTCAGTTTTTCTGTATCAGGAAGCTCAGTGTTCTTTAAACTTGCTGAGCAGGTCACACAGATAAGCAGATGACAGAATAAATAGAAGTACATTATCACATGTCTCGTTCCCTTCCAAGGCTATCTCCCCCACTTAAGTGTGAGCTTTTTGAAAGTAGGTTCCAGGTTTTACCAACCTTTGAGTGCATGGTACCTCTTATGGATTGAATTGTGTCCTCCAAAAATGTGTATCAACTTGGCTAGGTCATGATTCCCTGTATTGTGTGGTAGTCCACCATTTCGTGATCTGATGTGATTTTCCTACGTGTTGTAAATCTAACTGCTGTGTTAATGAGGCAGGACTCAATCTGCAGGATTGTGTTGTATCTTGAGTCAATCTCTTTTGAGATATAAGAGAGAGAATCAAGCAGAGACAAGAGGGACCTCATGCCACCAAGAACGAGGAACAAGGAGGGGAGTGCATCCTTTAGGCCTAGGGGTACCTGCGCTGAGCAGCTCCTTGACCTGGGGTAGATTGATGATAAGGACCTTCCCCCAGAGCTGACAGAGAACGCCTTCTCCTGGAGTTGGCACCCTGAATTCGGACTTCTAGCCTTCTAGACTGTGAGAGAATAAATTTCTGTTCGTTAAAGCCATCTGCTTGTGGCATGTCTGTTACAGCAGCACTAGATGACTAAGACAGAGCTGATATAGACTGAGAGTCTCCAAAAGGGGAACAGAACATGCAGTATTTCCATGTATGTTTGAATGCGGACGCCTTTCCCAAGAATCATCTGGGACCAGTGTTTCCAAAGCGTGGGACTTGTACCACCAGTGCAGCCCAAGGAGGCATTAGGTGAGGCAGACACAGCATCAAGCAACACAGATTCACTTCTCTTCGAAGGGCTTTTTATGTTCATCGGAGGCAGGATGGTGTGAGGGTCAAGATCACTGCCTCCAGACTCCCTCTGTTTGAATCCTGACTCAGTTTCCTCATGCATAAAATGAGGGAAACCATCTTCTTCATTCCATTATCGTGAATATTAAACGAGAGTTTGTATGCAAAGTGTTTCTGGCAGCACCTGGCCCTGATAAGCTCTAAGCAAGCACAGCTTTTCTTATTCTATCTGCATGATTCTCTTCTTTACAGCGAAATCAGGCCTCAAGCTCAGAGCCTGTAACGGTATCTAGCTAGAATTTTTAATAATTTTTGTTTTCATCATATTTATTTTTTAGTTACCTTCTATTTATAGCATGTAATACTAGCAATTGGTTATTTACACTGGCGAGAAAGTTTAAAAATAAATGTATAACAAAATTTCAAATTCTCAGTGGAATCCAGGGTTGCTGGAGCCATTGAGACAGGATGAACCCCCGAAGCTATTGCCTTGAGATAATCTTTAAACCTTAAACCTCAAACCAAAACTATCCCCTGATCTTAAAAGCTTGTGAGCGGCCATCTAAGTACTCCATTGGTCTCACCCCATCTGGAGCAAGGGAGAATGAAGAAAACCAAAGGCACAAGAGAAATATTACTCCAAAGGAATAATGGACCACAACTACCACGGCCTCCACCAGACTGAGTCCAATACAACTAGATGGTGCCTGGCTACCACCGGTGACTGCTCTGACCGGGATCACAGCAGAGGGTGCCTGACAGAGCTGGAGAAAAAAGTAGAACAAAATTCTAACTCACAAAGACCAGACTTTCTGGCCTGACAGAGACTGGAGAAACCCTGAGAGTATGGCCCCTGGGCACCGTTTTAGCTCAGTAATGAAGTCACTCCCAGGGTTCACCCTTCAGCCGAAGATTAGACAGCCCCATAAAATGAGTGTAATGGGGCACAGTAGTCCAGCGACAAGGACTAGAAAGCAGGAGGGGACAGGAAAGCTGGTAATAGGTAACCCAAGGTTGAGAAGGGATAGTGTTGACATGTCGTGGAGTTGTTAACCATTGTCATAAAAACAACATGTGTACTAACTGATTACTGAGAAGCTGTTTGTTCTGTAAACCTTCATCTAAAGTACAATAAAAAAGAAAAAAAAAAAGGATCAGACTCACTGGTCTGACAGAGACTAGAGAAACCCCGAGAGTATGGCCCCTGACACCATTTTAGCTCAGTAATGAAGTCATTCCTGAGGTTCACCCTTCAGCCAAAGATTAGAGATTAGACAGGCCCATAAAAAAAATGGAGACTAAATGGGCACACCAGCCCAGGGGCAAGGATGAGGAGGCAGGAGGGGACAGGAAAGCTCGAACCCAAGGTCAAGAAGGGAAGAGTGTTAACATATCATGGGGTTGGCAACCCATGTTACAAGACAATACGTCTACTAATTTAATGAGAAGCTAGTTTGTTCTGTAAACCTTCATCCAAAGTACAATAAAAAAATTAAAAAAAAAAACAAAAAACTATCCCCTGATGTCTTTGAACCAAACAATAGTTTAGCTCAATGAGTCAAGCATGTCTGCCTTGAGCATCGTTCTCTTTCAGAGATTTATCTATATGGGATGAGTTTGACAATGGCAGCTCTAAGTTAGATGAGAAACACAGGGAGCAGTGAGTTTATGTTAATGGTGGGGGATGATGGGAAAAGGTTAGTGAGAATGGCTGCACAACTTAATGTAATCCATGTCACTGAATTGTACATGTAGAGATGGGTTGAAATGGTGTATCTTTTGTGTGAAATTTTCACCAAAAAAATAATAAATTAAAAAAATGCATTTTACAAAGAAATACTTAGAAATGTATTAGAAATAAAAAATATTAAGTGAATAATAGAGCAGGTGGTACAAAGACAGAAAAAATGGTGAGAATACGGCAAAAATGCTGAAAACGGTACGTGAACTCCTGGATAACATAGCGGAGGGCTAGAGTCTGGGAATCACTTATCTCGCGCAATCCAGAGAGACCAGCAAATTTGCCTGGGGGAGTCTGAAGGAACCCCTAAAGCTTTTTAAATTACTGCCCCCAGTTTTAAAATTTCTGCCAGAGAAATTTATTGGTAGATTATAGAAGAATTATTATTTATTTGAAAATCCACATTTCTGAAGTTTGAAATTTAAAATAAGTTCTCCTGCCTTCATAAAAGTTGTTTTGGTGTTGCCAGAGACTTCTTATGAATTCAACTTTGACGTTTGAATGGGAAGATTGATTTGACTTGTGAAAATGTTCATGTTGTAGGAGTCCCTTCTAACACTCTCTCTGAATGCTTCACGAAGCCACACTGGGAAAGCGAGCCTACGTGTTTCAGTCATCACAAACAAAAGCAAACTCTCGCTAACCGATATGGTACACACACAACAGAACAAATTGCTTGGAGTTATCTTGTAGTCACTCAGTGTGTGACAAATCATGGCATGAAATAAACTTGGGTGCGTGCCACATGCCCAGTGTGTGTCAAGGGGTTTGCGTAGTTCCCCACAAACGAGCAATGTGAGTAGGACCCCCGGAATGGTAGAGTAGGGAGCTGAGTGGAAATTCTCCCCAATAAAACAACTTAATTTGTGAAAATTACTTAAACAAAGGCTCAGGGAACTGTCC